AGCCATGTTGCTTACAGCCTTGTGAGACCCCAATCAGAGGACCTGACTAAGCTGTGCCCACAGATACTTGGAAATAATAAATGGATACTGAGTTACACTGCTGTTTACATAATTTGTAGTGATGTATTACACAGCATATAAACCCAGTACATCTCGTGATAAACTGAATCCCTCCGTCCTGTTGAACTTCCTCAAATCTAATCCTCTTACTGACTTTCAGTGCTTCTAAAGCTGCCCTGAATTCCTATGCTGCGATCTTGGCTTGTTAAGATGGAGACACTTCCTGGTGGAGCTCCCAGGCTTTGTAAGATGAAACTTTGGCCATATTATCTATTTCTGAAGGCACAAGTGTGGTTTTACTTAATATTCAGCTCTTCATGGCTTGAGATTTATGCCTCAAATTAATATTAGTCTTTGCCTCTATTTTACTGAGGCACAGAGAAGAAAGAAATCCTTGTGGGCCACCTGCATTAGGCAAGGTCAAAAGGAGAATGATCAAAGAAACCAGAAATAAGCAATTTCTCTGGCCACACTTGTCACAGCAGTTGTTTAACAATTCCCCGAAGCACAGGTGTAAAGGTCTGTGTACATGCATTCTCCACCGGTTCCACTCCAAGTCCTTAACAACCTGGGGAGAGGCTAATGATTCACAAGCTTAATGGAACTACGCAGAATTGTATAAAATTGTAATGAGATTGCTCCCCTCTTCCCTAGCTACTTGCCCTTCTGTACCTGTCTAATGTATACCTTTTTCATTCTTTTTACCCAAATTCTCTTTCTTCTCTCATTATTCCCTATTTGGAGACTTGGATAAAGACTGAACTCAGAGTTAAAACTGCCACAAGCCATAATCGCAGTCATTACCGTTGTTTTCCCCAAGGAATAATCTGGTGAGAAAAAAGAAATAGCAATAGTAATTCTAAGAAAGAAAAATCACAAGAAGGTCATTAGCTGCACCCTATTTTGTTCAAACCTATTAGGAAGCTGGAGGGCAAAAAGATAATGGCAATCACATGGCAGGAAAACGCAGTGTGGGGTGGGAGGGCGTCATGCTAACTGGTAATCCTGTTCAGACAGGTGAAGGCTGGCAGGTTTGGGAAAAGAGATGGCCAGACTAGCAAGGGAAAATATTCAAGAATTGGAACATTAGGAAAATGTGGCCTGGGAAGGGATTAGTATAAAAATATAC